ATTTCGAATTTTGGATGTGACATGACTAAAAATAATTCTCAGATATTACTCTGAGCCTTCTAAAAGAAAATGACACATTAAGTTTTGAAGAAAAGCACAGATGACAATGATCCTGAATTTTAACGTGGTCATACAGTCCTTGTGGAGAACAGAGATTGTCAGGAAAGTTTAGGACCTTACCTGAGGAAGACCCAGGAAGGACACTAACTTGATGTACAGCTGGGACAAGAAACTTAGGGACCTAGCTGGCTCAACCAATCACGGGGATATTGCCTACATAATTCCAAATACAAGCCAAGACTATTTTTTGAAAGCTAAAAATATTTGCCTTTTGGGTAGCTTTATGATATTTGCTTTAGTTTATTACATCCTGAAAATAGACATATGGCTCCCAGCATTATTTTCAAGCTACAGCATAAAATTAACTATAATTTACATTTCAAACAGGATGCCTAAAATGTGTGACAACATCTGCACAACCCTCAACGCTTCTTTTGCTTTTTTTAAACTTTTATTTTAATAGCTCACCAAACTTTGGGAAGTATTTTAGAGAATGGTCAATTATAAACTCAGATCACTAAAGAAGTTATTCAGAGATAATAAAATCAGTTGCATGGGCTAATTCTCCCCAATGAACTAGGCTATTATGGGGAACAGTTCCCAGAAATACTTGGTCAGTGTGTTGACTGAAACTACATTTCCAGTTATCTTCTCTCAAACTATTAGCAAAAATAAGAGCTAACAAGTATCGAGAACTGGGCTAAGAGCTTTACAACATCTCACGGAGTGAGAGCTACTTCTAGCTGTATTTTATACAGCTAAAATAAACTAAGCCATAGAGCTGCTCAAAGTTAGAGACCTGGTGAGTGACCAAGGGTGACCTCTCAACCGAGTGTCTAAGGTGCGGAATCTGGGGTCCTCCCCACCCAGCCCACCTTGCCCCTGAACCAGAATCAGTAGATGTGCTCAAGCTGTGAGTCTCTACTCTCAGACAGGAGGGACGTGAGCAGATTACAGAGGCTATAAGCACACATTCACTTTCTAGCACAGTTGTTCAAGGAGAGAAAGTTGCCAGGAACACACACACGCACACACACACACACACACACACACACACAGAGTCTCCTTTGTCAGCTGAAGGCCGCCCCCAGAGAGCACAAGGGGAAGCGGAAGAACCCGAGAACACTGCAGTATGGTGATGGTGGATCGGACAACCAAGACAAGAGGAGGAACAGTGTGCTCGGCGAGTGGGATGCCTGCACAAGGCCAGTCTTTCCTCAGAGTTCTCAGTAGCAGCAAAAGTGACAAGAAAGAGAAAAGGGCCAGCAAGACAACTCAAGAGACTGAGTACCTGCTTAGGCAAGCACAAGGATCGGGGTTCTATCCCTGGCACCACAAGTACGCTGGCCCCGCCCCCTGGGGTGTGCTGAACAGCCCACTGAGTCTCGCCTGTAATCCCAGCGCTAGGGATGCTGAAAACAGGAGGATCACTACCAGTTTGAGCTGCCTAGTGAGACCCTATAAAAAAAAGAAAGAAAGAAAGAAAGAAAGAAAGAAAGAAAGAAAGAAAGAAAGAAAGAAAAAGAAAAGACAGAGACCAAAAGAGAAAAGAAGAGGGAGGGAGCCATAGAGGCTCCTAGCAGTAGTCATGGTGACAGGAGGGCTTTTTCATGTTGTTTTTATAAGCAATGACAAATACTATCCTCCGGAAAGAGGAGAGAAACAAACTGCTTGAGACTGAAGACAGAACAGCTTTGCTGCCACGGGGGCAAGCAGCCACCTGCCTCCTGTTTCTGTGGTCCTTTGCGGTCTGCGTAGGGTAGAAAGAGGACAGCCGGGTAGCTGTGCATCAGGCTGCCCTGCTGGGTGGCCTGCCCCACACAAATGGACCCCAAGGGAGGCCATGAGGACAGTCCCAGGAACGTGGGATCTGGCGATGTGTTGGTGCTGGGGCCAGAAAGTGCTAGCAGTGTCCACTGAGAAAAAGTTCCACTTTAGGGCTAGGTATGCAAACAGTTCTGCCACAGTTTAGTGGGGAAAACTCCAGCTGTCCTGTTCATCCCTCAAGGCCAGGTACATTTGTATTGTACACAGGTAGATGCGGCTCACATGATAGTCAGAGGGCGGCTAGCAGAATCAAATTCTGTTTTTCTGAACAGTGCTAAAATGAAGGGCTGCAGTGACAAGCTCCTAGCCATGTCAGAGCAGGTGATGAGGATGGAAACATCCACTAGTCCTTGGGACTGATCACAGGACACACCTATTGATGAGGTGTGATCTAAAAGGTGGTGGATGCTGCCCCCTCCAGGGCCATCCACCTGAGAGGCAGGCTTGTAGAAACGTGGTGCTGTGTCCTTGTCTACCTTATTCACTGGATCTGGCACCCTGTGACTTCTGGCTCCTCCCAAAGGCAAAAGGGAACTGTTTTGAGCGGATTCAGAGGGCTGGAGAGATAGCTCAGCGGCCTGCCTGGCAAGCACAAGGTCCTGAGTTTGGTCCCTGGTTAAAAAAAAAAAAAAAAGAAAAAAAGAAAAAAAGAATGGATTCAGGGCAACTACAGATGGTCAGAAGAGGACTTCTAGAGCTGCTGTAGAAAATGGCAAGAACGAAGAATGTGTGCAATGTGTTAATTATTGGAACTGTCCTACCAATTTGATTTGAAACTGTCTCATTGCTTTTTGTTTCTCAATAAAATTATGGAAAAAAAAAAAGAAAATGGCAAGAACAATGGCATGATATATTTTTGAAGCAAGGGGGATATTTTGAGGGGGAGGATTAATGGCTATGTCTTTTAGTGTAATTTTAAAAAACGAGCATAATATTTTTCTACCATACCTCATGTAGTATTAGCTCAAAGAAAGTATCCTGAAGCTTTTGCTATTGCCATTATTGCAGCTGAGCTGGGGTCACCACAGATGTTTATTTTGTGTTACTGCCTGGGCTATTGCAGGGTCCTGTGTCACAGCTTTTCCAGATTTTAATTCGGATTTTAAAATGCTGGCTCTAGAAAAGAATTTTCACCGGGCCCTCCCCTGAGTACCTTGGATGAAGGTACTTTCTGGGGCAGAACCATTTTCCTGATCGCTGCAGGTAAACAAGACTGATGTGTCCACATGAGAAACTTCCAGGCAACTCTGGGTAAAAATCGTGAGAACCTGTAGTACCACCTCAGGTTTCCCCTGTTTTATAAATCATATATACATAAGGTGAATCACAGATGGTGGCCTCTTAAGGAGTTCAAAGGCAAAGAACTGGACCATAGACACTGGGGCACTTTCTGTTCCCAATTTATGGCTCCTATTCTAATTTTAAAATCTACAGTTTTCTTTACCTAGGAATCCATGTGTCTGTCCTAGGTACAATGTGCTGCTGCTGATTGTCAGGGACACCCCCGAGGCTTGCCACTGATAGACACTAGCTGGAGGTCAGGCTGGCAGACTGTATCCTGGAGCGCAGGCCTCACGAACCTTTTCTGGTTTGGACCTAGTCCTAGCTTAGTCCCTTGCCTGCCTCGTTTCTACCCTGCCCTCCCCTACGACAGCCAGGCATCTCCCAAAAGCGGGAAAGAAAGGTCTGGTTGGCCACTGTATCACCACCCTTCCTTTGGGGCCCAAAGAAGCAGGTGTGTGAGTCTGAATGCCTTTGGAAGAGTTGCAGGTGGGTGGGGAGGAGGGCGTCTTAGAGGACGAAGCCATGGTTGGGTTTGGTTCTGTGGAAAGAACAGTGCTGCTTCCGCGGGGAAAGTCTTCTTTAGGCTGCCTCCTGGCTCCGACTTCCTGGCAGAGCTCTCTGGGCCCCAGGGTCTGAATGAAGGCCGGGCACATAATGAGCAGCAGCCTTCTGCACAGGTCTGGGCTTGGCTGGCCTTCTCCAGGCCTGGTTCACACTGGTTCCTTTTCTTGGTGTCTAGCTGGTCATCCCAAGCTGTGTCCAGGCCCCGCTCAGAGCTTCCCGCTGCCAAGCTCTAGCCCCCAATCTTGTCAGCTGCGTCTTCTCATTTCTCCATTCTTGAAACTCAACCTTGGTTCACTTACAAGAGGCCTCGTACTTTACATACAGGCCTTCTCTTGTTCTCCAGGGACCCATGCCTGTCACAGACCTGCTAGGCGACACCTGTACTTCCTGGACTGTGATCCAGGCCTTAGTCGGCCCTGTGACTCGACCTCCCGATGCTGACTGCCAGACCTCAACAGGAGCCTTTGGCCTCGCCCCACCTCTGCTTCCACCCCAACCCTGGACCCACAGAGCGTGCACCCACACGCGCACACCCACGGAGCCACCCGAGGTCGGCTGAGCACACGAGCGGCCTTCTGCTTGTGGCCCGCCGCTCTGTTCCTCGGCTTCCCCGCTCCATCCACCGAGACTTGCTCTCGAGTCTCACCGCCCACATCCTGTCACGATGGAAGGGATGGCAGATGTCTCTGGTCCTCCCAGTTGGGCCCAGACTTACAATTAGTGGGGTTCACCCACTGCGTGGTGATGAGTGTCAGTGCTGCTATCAATTGCAAAGTTCACTTCAAAAGTTGGGACACATTTTGCTTTCTAGGAAGTACAGACAGCGTTTCCCTGTTCAGATATACTCTTCTGCCTCTGCGCGGCCATGCCAGCTACCTCATCTGAAATTTCCTCCCTCACCATCCCTGTTTCCTGCCTTTGTTTTTTCCTTTCTGCTTAGCGCTTTTGACCAACATGATTGCATCTCCTACTGACTTACCTGGCTCACTGCTTATCCTTCCTGCAGAATAGGAGAAAGCAGGATTTGGGTTTCTTATTTGTGTACCTGGACCAGAGCCCAGAGGAGTCATGCAACGCACGCTGGATCGGAGGCTGAGGGCCAGAGGGATGATGGGGCTGCACCTGCTCCTCTCTGGCCAGCCTACTCAGGCTGTGAGCATGGTACCCTCTCGTCCAGGACAGGATACCCCCCTCTTCCCCCAGCTGGCCCATCTGGTCCTGAGCCTGCCTCCTTCCCCCCCTGCCCCTAACAGGGCCACACTCACCTTCAGCTTGTGTTCATGTTCCTTGTTGACCCGGGCCAGCAATTGTGCTTTCCTTCTATTGAGGGCATCAATGAGGGCGTCGCACTGGGCCACCAGACAGGCCTCAAACTCCACGCTGTTCTCCTGCGTGAGAGAGCACATGGTTAGGCACAAGGCAATAGGAGCAAACAGACCCTGTGTGGGGAAGCTGTGCCTGCCGCAAGGATCAGGAAGGAGCCCTGGCCACAAAGCACAGCAGGTTATTTGCAAGTAGGCAGGTACATATCATTCCACAGTGGCCATGTTTTGCTTTGAAGTTAGATAGAGAGGGGTAAGATTTTGTTATCTAAATTCATTCTCCCAAGAGACGCTCATCTCCACAGTTTGCATGACAGTAGGTAACACAAAGCTTCAGTATGTACAGTGGCACACAAGTCCCTCTGGGCCACAGGGCCACTGTAGATGGTGGAACATGGTGACCAGGAAGAATAGGAGTATGGTCAGTGCAAGAAGAGGATGAATCATGAAACTCAGTGGAAGAAAGAGACAGAGAATGGCAGGAGCCTTCAATATTAAACAGCAAGCCAATGACAGCGCTGGTCTACAAGACATAAGAATCATGGGCAAAAGTTGGGGGGAGGCTTTCACTAAGGAAGCTGAGTGGGGACAGCCAGTGTTTGTAACAGGCATCTCCTGGCTGTAACATCAGATAGGAAACAACTACTTTCAAGGAAAGGTAACTGAACTATATGAATTAGAGTTTAGATTAAATGCTGAGTGTAAAAATTTCACTTGATGTAAATATATACATCTCTTATTGAAGCAGTTCTCTCACTGGATTATAGGCTTTTGTTAAAGATATTCTTTTACATAAGTAGTAGTGTATGCTATTTGGATTCTTAGGTTATAACCAAAAAACTATAAGCCACAGTAAATGAAAGCTAACTACTCATGGATATATTAACAGAACTTACAAAATTGCACCTAATGGAGTAAACAGTAAATCTGGTGGGCAGCAACCAATAAAAGAGCCACTTAGTCTATCAAATCTAATCCTCATCGGATCTCTGTATGATAGTAAACTGATGTATTTGTCAACTCTTTTCAAGCACAAGGTCTTCCTGTGAGGTGTGCATTTAGTGATTGTACATGCAGCTCCTTGCTTGGTGTCGGTGGAAGTTGAATTGTGGCTCTCATGGCAATTGCTTTTGAGTTCTCAGAGGAGGCCCTTGGAAAGCTTCGCTGAAGAGCTGTCTATGTCCTGTACGGCGTAATGGGATGGGGGAAGGCTTCCTTTCCCTGCGAAGGCCCTGGCACTGTTCTGTGGCTGAAAGAAAGCCCGCTCTGTGCAGAGACAAGCCTGGGGCTGCACATTTTATGCCAGCAGAAGCAAAGAAAGGGCTGATTGATAGACTCCATTGCTTTGAAAAACAGAAGGAAGTGTACAAAACTGTTAGGCTGTTAGGGAGTGAAAAGTTTTAACATGGGCATGCATGCCAAAAAAAAAAAAAAAAAAAAAAAAAAAAAAAAAAAAAGCAAAGGCAAAGGCAAAGGAATCAGTGTGTGGAGCTTTGAAACACTGACTTACATTTAAAAATCCATTTCTGCCTTGACATGGGCTGACTATTAACTCAGAAAACCTATTTACTGAAGGTCAGTGTCAAGGGTATTTCTGTGAGGCAAACTTCAAAACACAACAATGGTAAACAGTGCAGAGAGGGTCATTATTTTAGGATCTCGTCACTGTATGGCTTCTGTCTTTCAGCTATGGTGGGGAGTTATGAGCTACCAGTGCTGGCTGACCTGCTGGGCGTTGTGTTCAGATGAAGTGATCTGACATTACCGTCGCCAAGGGAGCATGGCTGGAAAGGGTCCAGATTGAGAAGTATTATTGGAGGACAGGGAGAAAGCAAAGAAAACGGAAAGGAAGAAAACAGAGGAGCCAAAGTGACCTGTTGCAATTAAGTAAGATGTCATGATAGTGACTCGTTTGGGGAACATAGAGGGTTGTTAAAAACTCAGGAATCGCAACCTAAATTCCCAAAGAAAGAGCCCTTTCTAAATACACAGGGTAGAGAGTTATGACCTCAGTGTGGAAGACAGGGGCCATTTGGAAAACTAGGTTGTGTATCTGGTTGTTGGCAGAAGGCCACCACAGTTGGCCACCACTTCCAACTGTGTCTGCGGTTGGTCTATATGTGTGTTTGTGTGGATGGAAGACACTGGGAAGGAAAAATATAAGTAGGCTTTTTCCCAGAATACATAAACCTAACAGAACAGAAGCAAACTCCCAACAACGGTTGCATGTCAGCCCACAGGTTTGCCCTGTCTCGGGCCCCATAGTTACCTGGATTTGCTGGACCATGTTGCGGAGTTGCACCAGAAACTCCTTGGCCTCTTTGGCCCTGTCAGAAAGTCCATTCAGGGCCTGGGAAAGCTGGCTCTGCAGAGAGAAAAGGGAAGCCATGGAGCTGGAATCACACAAAGCCACTCAGTGCTGTTTTCAGAGCGAAATTTCCCAAGGCCCCGAGTCATCAACCTCCCCAGAGTCCTTCTGCCTAAAGTGGAGTCCCTGAGCCAACATCTGTACACGTGGCTCTGGGAACAGCAGGGTCCAGACTCCTCCCAGGGGCTCCTATATGGTTTCTCCTCAGAAGCTGTCAAAACTTTTGGCCCAGCAAGGGTCCTCCCCAGCTCATATCTACCTAGAAGTCCTCGTCCTCTGGGTGAAGTGACCATTTGTTGAACGCCTATCTGCTAAGGTCATAAAAACAACGGGGTAGTGTGCTTTCCCAGCATGCATGGGGCCCTGAGTTCAGAACAAATGCAAAACTGTGAGTCAGATTATCTGCATATCATCAATACTGCTCAGTCCAAAGGGCTGTTGCTCTGGGATCAGGGCAGGAAGAATGAAGAGAATCCAGAACAGGATGGAGAAAGAAAGGTCAGGTTCTGCTGTGATACCCTGAGGTCCTTAAATGTAATGACAAGCAGAGGGCAGGACGCCATGCCACCTGCCTGCACACAGATGTCCTCGTCCTTCGCTCAAGTACAGCCCTGTTGCTCTAACTGCTGGCCACACCACCTCTGAGTAGACTCTTTGTGAGATCCCACACCCCCACACCCACATAGGAACGTTCCATTGGGCAGGCGGTGTGAAGTACATGCCCACTCAGCCTTGTTGCTTCCTGGGTGCCCACAGAATTGCTGGTGGGCATGGGGGGGGGGGCTCAGTGGAAGTCGGCTGGGGCTGGACAGGTCTGGGAAAGCATTTGCTTTTCTGCAAACCCGGGACCTGTGTGGCCACAGCAGCCCCTCTTATCTGGTGCCTGACTTCTGCTAGGTGTGGAGTCTGCTAACTTGCATGTTGCTGCCAGAGTGGTGTGGGGTGGGGGTGGGGAGGAGTGTGAGTTCCTGTGGCATTGCTGAGCACCCAAGCGAGCATCCGACTCTCCCTCTATGAGACTTCTTCTTACCAGGGAAAACGCACTCCTGTGGAAGTCCGATCCTTCCTGCAGCTCTCCCTGCTTGCAGCCATCGGCACTGTGTGTGACACACACTGCCTTCTCCTGGCAGCCTGGCATAGCCATCCATCCCTCACATAGTGACACGCCTCCTTTCCCACAATGCCTTCTGTGAAAACTGAGCCCCGCTCTCGGCCTTGCTCATACTGTGCCTCATCTCCCCTTTCCACTCAGCAAAACGACAGTGCCTTAATTCTATCCATTGGTCCTTGAAACAGTTTTTTCTCCTCTTGCCTTATTAAATGCAAACTCAGGCATTGATTCTCCTTGGAAATGCGCATGCCCAATGCTGAGTGGAAGCAAAGTGGGGTGGTAGAAAGAACACACTTAGAAGGAGTTAAAATTCTGGCTCCGTCCCTTACTGATCACGACCTTGCAAAAGTCACCCCAGCCTGAACTAGTCCAATAGGAAAAATGAGAATAGTGACAATGCTTTGTTCCTGGGCTATTGTGAGGCGTGAGTGTGTTAATCTGTGAGAAAGCGCTTGCTAATCAAGGGGAGTGATCAAAGGAACCGTTCTGAACTCATAAATGCCGCAGGATACTGGCTGTTCAATCCTTCATACATGGTTTTACTGCCTCCGTAAAATGAGAGAAATCCTGCTAGAGTACTCTGGGGTATTGTGGGCAGTGCATGAGACACTACATACATGTAAAGCCTGCAGCGCTGTCAGTATAGAGTGCATGATGCATGTTTAGAAAATGTTGGCTGGCATTCAGCTTCATTTGCTTTTTAAAAAATTAGTTAGTTAATCAATTTGGTACATAGTCTTACTGCACAGCTCAGACTCATAGTGATCCTCCTGTCTCAGCCTCTCCAGCGCTGGGATTGAACACTCCAGCTTGCGATACCGGAGATCAAACCTGGACCCTTGCAAATGCCAGCCAAGTGCCTAGACTGCTGGGCTATCTCCCTGCCAGTCATTTGCTTTCTTTATTCCTACTCACACAAACATCTGTGGATGGGAGGGCTGTGGAGCTCAGATTCCTGGAATGAATGCATTAGAGAATATCCGTGATCACTTGGGCTTCTTTCCTGTGCTCAGGCTGCAGCAGGACAGACCAGCGCAACTAGGAAAGAACACCAAGGGTGCCTACAGTTGCAAAAGGCCGCTCAGTTCTTTATTAGTGGGACTTAGCTGCTTTGTCATTTGGGGCAGAGAGTATGTCTGTGAGAATGCTTTCCAGGAGCCCAGGAAACAGAGGAGGAAAAGAGGGTCTTGTGTAGAAGTACAGCCATACAGTGAGAGGCATACTGTATTTTGCAATATTTGTTTTTTAGGAGAATTTGTTTTTCATTGCTGCTTTTAGAACTCACATCTCTTTTTTTTCTGATAGATGAAAACTACCAGCTTTCTTCCCTTTTTCATTATAACCTGTGCCTTGGACACAGGCACTGAGAATTTTGAACAGAGAAACTAAATTCATTTGGCTACACAAAAATGAAGATGCCCTATCTCTTACTTTGCAACCTTGTAATTAATTGTGTTTGTATAACGCAAGTCAGATGTGACATATGTACAGATGTGGTGACAGGTGTTGTTGCATGCTTAGAAAAAGATTATTACTAAATAGTAGGTAGAGTGCTGACATCTTCTAGGAGTGTATATGGCAAAATAACAAAAAAACTGCAAGGATGGATTTGTGTCCAGGTTTCCTCTCTCTCTATGTATGTTCAGCCCTAGCGCTGCTCACCTGGCTAATGGTAGTCCTTGATAAGCAACTGCGTTATTAAGATAAAGACCTAGAAACCTCTCTCCTAATCTGTGTTCTCTTGTAGAAACCGAGCTGGAGACAACGGGAAGTCCTAGAAAGCCATTTATCATGAGAAGACATCCCCGTTAGTAAGGATTTATATGAGCCTTGTTTTTATAGGATAGTCTTTGGATCCCATTTATAAAGCCTGTCGGATGCGGCAGAACTTACTAGTGATGGATCTGGTTTCCTAGGAACATTTCAATTCCAGGTTTGTGCTCACAGAGGTGTTTCTGTATTCAGGACCACAGAGCCGCCCTGTGAATTCGCCAGGAAGTAGAGATACATGGCGCATTTTCATTACGGGATCTCTGGGTGTGCATGTGGCCAGCAGAGTGACAAGGTTTGGTCCCAAGAGCTGGCTACGGTGCCTCTGCAGCTACATGCTCGGGTCTTGGGTATTTGTTTTCTAATCGACTGAAAAAGTGTCAGTGCGAAGGAGAGTGGAAGAATGACGGCGCTGCGGGAGCACGGCTCCATTTCCAGTCCAGGTGTTCTCAGCTTGCTTGGAGAGACCAAGGCTCCCAGGAAGACGGCAAAGCGGAGCCTGAGAGAGGGCGGGCGGTGTCTCCTTCCCTTTCTCCACTGTAAGCATCTTTCACTTGCCACTATCCCCCCAGTTTACTCTGAGTAGTGGGTGAAACTTTGTGGCTGTTTGGAATCTGAGGTCACAGGGATGGAACAATAGAATCAATCTCGGTATAAGACAGAGGAGGCTGCAAAGGCAACAGCACCTCGGTGGCCCCAGACATGACACCAGCGCTGCCCTCAGGACAGTGCTCACCCTTTGGGCGCCGCAGGCATCGCTGGGCCTGTGAGGCAGAGCCCACTCCGCCTTCTTCCCAGGTGCCAAGGGAATAAATGGCAAACCCTGGAAAGGAGGCCTTTGCTACCACGGGCACTGAGGGAAGGCTCTTGGAAGAACAACACCTGTTCCAAGCAAATACCGAGTTTTAGTCTCATTACATCACTGATACACAATCAAAATGCAGATGCAAGAAGCTGCAACGGTCACAGTGGCTTGGCCATCTGTTATGAATCAGGAACTCATAGATGCTTTAAACATGCATCCTACTTAATCTCTGCTGGATGCAGAGCATCAGAAAGGAGACACATGAGGTCAAGCCCTCCCACCCACATGGGGGAGGCAAGATACGGACCCTAGTGTGATACTGGAGTCACGCTTTTTGCTCTCCGATCTCAGAGAAAGGAATAAAAACAATCTGTGGTGCAAGCGTGTGAAACTAGGGCAGGCGAGCTGACCAGGACTTCAGGAGGCAGGGGAGGTGGAGGCTCAGGCCCCTTGGGTGGCTCAGCTTGAAAGTTCCCAGGTAGACGGCACCAGTGGGCGCTCGTTCCTTTACCTCACTCCGCTGTCTGCCCAGGATCTCAGGCCAGTAGGGGCCAAGCTAGTACTGGACCCAATGCCAAGCTGCTTTCTCCTCTCCACAATGCCCCTGTCTTTGACAAGGGTTCTTTAGAAAATGAAAGGGAGGAAGAGAGGAAGGAAGGAAGGAAGGAAGGAAGGAAGGAAGGAAGGAAGGAAGGGAAGAAGGAGGAAAAAAGAAAGGAAAGGAAAGAGAGGCAAGCAGGGAGGGTTTGACTACAAGAGGAGCCCAGAAAAGCCCAAGCTTATTGCTACGTGGAATGTTTAGGGTCTACTTTCCAGAACAATCTTTTCTTCCTTTCTCCTACTCTCCTTGCTTCCCTCTCTTTCTTTTCTTTCTTTTCGCCTGCCTGCCTGCCTGCCTGCCTCTCTTCCTCCTTTTCAGGCATTCTGTGCCTGTGCTAGGATGGGAAGCAGCCCTCAGAGGCCAGCCTGCCTGGACATGCCAGCCTGCTGCTGAGTCCAGCGGCAGGGCGGGGGCAGTGAACAGGCTGGGAGCCACGGGCCTGGCAGCTGAAGCACACAGCCCAGGGAAAAAGTAGGGTGTGTGTGTGTGTGTGTGTGTGTGTGTGTGTGTGTGTGTGTATTAGTGGGAGTGTTGGAGTGTATGTGCATGTGAATGTATGCATGCGAGAGGGGGTGGATTGCTATGCGCGATCGAATGTGGACAGGAATGAGTGTGAGAATGGGAGTGTCAGGGTGCACACGTCTGCAAGAGCACATGCAAGTGTGCTGTCCCCTCCGAGGAGCACAGGGAGGCTCCCGCCTTGGGGTGGC